AACTGGCCAAAGGGATTCTACAATCTTAAATCAGGAAATTTAAAAGTCTAGGCACTACAATTTAGTCAACTATGTCTTATTATACACGTCTACAAAGAAAACATGTTAATGGAACATAAAAAACTTAAAGAATGGATGCCCTAAAATCAATAAAAATAAGTAATGCACCTGCAAAGGTCAAAAGTTCAGAAAATTTATTTTATATTCCATTCAATTCAAAACAGTATTCTGTATCCCCCACCTAGACAGCCACGTAAACATCCACCAAATGCAAACATATTTTTCTCAAAAAACTTCCTCAAAAAGCAAGCATTCATAACCCCGATAGTCATTGCTCAAACATCGGAAGCAATGAGTTTTAATTTTTATTTCTACCATTTTTCCAACTCAGATGTTTCAACATTTTCTTCCATTTCAGTAAATTTTTAACTAACATAGACTACAAGCTACAATGCATAACATTTTTTTTTTCATTTATTAATCCAACCGACTTTTATGCAGCAATGCTTAAAAATTGAAATGAGGTGTGGGGAGAGGTAAGGAAACAGCCAGCCGTTCGTGCATCCACCATTGGAATTTTATACATTTTCATCTCATCTTTATGTCTAGAAGGATGAGAAGCCACAGGTATTTGCTTTAAATTATTCTAGCTCTTCTTTTTATTAATAAAATTATTGTTTGAGGTTTCTATAGAGAAAAATGAAAGGGACTTAATGGCTTTAAAATTGCATAAGCTATAGATGGGGGAAAGGATGAATATTTGCAATGTCTGAGCTAACTTATTAAAAAGAATTTGTTATGGGTTTAGTATGAAAATATTATTTTACTGACTGGAAGTAGAAAATAAAATTTATGCAAAGATTTTTTTAAGGAATAAAAATAGCAAGATGCAGGAACAAAATTTTAAAAACCGAAATGAAAATTTTCTTTTTTTTTTATTTGATTAAATTAGTAAATTAAAATTTCTGCTTTTACAGTTTGTTGATTTTGCAGATTAATCAAATACAGAAAATACTTTGCAATATGCATAAATGTTGTAGACTAAGAGCAGGGATAGAGTTTTATGGTAAGTAATTGTAAATATAATTATTACTTTAATGGTTGTTATATTTAGCATTAGTGGATGTTCGTTGAGTATTTGAGAATTATTGTCTTAATGGTTTTATCAGAATTGAATTTACTAGCAACAATGTTTAATATCAAAAAAATTACAAAAGTTCTCGTATTATTGATCGAGGGCCTTAAGCGCATTTTTGTGTTAGCGATCAGTATTTGATTATCTAATTATTTTGCGTTCATTTACAGATCATGAGAGGATTAGAAGATCAATAATTTTAGTGTAATTAACAAATAATTACAATGAATGTCCAAAAAGACAGTCTTTATCATTTAACGGTTTATTGAATTCAAATTTTTACTGGTAAAAACAAATCGAATTCCTGAACGCACCCTGATTACAATTTTTACAACGGTAGAAAATAATTCAGATTTCTAAACGTATCCATCACGTGTTTTTCATATGAAATAAAAAAATCATTAATTAAAGTTTAAATACAATGTTTTAAGACTTTTAACTATTCGGCCAGCCAATTACTCGATAGAACTGAGCTAATAAAACAAACTCGAGCTCTCTACGATGTATGGTTAAAAAGTTTTTCTTGCCCCGAACAGCCGAACAAAGTGTATTATTAAGCTACCTTTTAAAACAAGTTTCAAAAATGCGCTTAAAATCTAAGATCGTCTTTTATGAATGACCCTTGAGATAATTGTTAGACTAATGTAAGTCCATGACTCTTGTCATGTCCAAAATACGAAAAACACAAAACTCTTGTTGAAACTTTTTATATTTACATTGAAAACAAACCCGGATAAAAATTAAATAAACATTCAAATTAACAAAATTGTACAAATAAAACATGGGCAAGGACTTTGTTGCCGACTATAAAAAACTATTCAAAACTTTTCATCTCCAAGCTATCAAGAAATTAAAAATCCCCAGAGTAACATGAAAGGCACAAAAAAATAATGGAAAATGAAACCCAAAAAATTTGTCACAACACTCTTTAAATCCCTTGCGGTTATGTACTTTTTCACATCAACATATCCCTCTGACATACTTCTTGTTATAAAATAATTCTGCAACATATCACAAAAAAAAATATTAATGTGCTTGTCATAATATTAAGAATGAAAAGTCACTGCAATGACCTAAAAAAAAGAATAAAACACAGAGTGATATGAAGTGACAGTGAGGCGAACAAAATAGCAAAAAAATAACTTTTTTTATTTAATTTTACGACATCATTCAACTTAATGTGTCTATTTGCTCATAACGAAACTTTAGTAGTGAATGTGAATTTTTTTTCATCGATTTTTCACTTAAAAGCTAACCGTGGCAGTTTTTTATTTTATTTTATAAATTTTCCACTATTCTCAACCATTTTATTTGACAATATTGTAAAAGTTATCTTGCAGCAATAAATTTTACGCTTTTCCTCACACCTCCAATATTCTTTATTGCTGCTGCTGCAATGTTTTAATTGATGAATTGAATTTTTTCGTGCAGTTTTGGTGGCAAGTTAATTGATAAATTAACTATGTTATCTTATGGATGAGAACAGTTCATAGTTAAGGGTTAGTTTTTTGACCATATCTGGTTGCCGTATTTCTATTCGATTTACCGACTTGCACTATTTAGATCAAAATTGCAGTTAAAATTAAGTTTGTGTAGTTACATACCCCTCAAAATGCAGGACATGGTTGCAGTTCTAGCCCCAATGACCCTATTTTCTATTATTTGAGTTAGCGAAAGAAGAAAGACTAAGACCTCGACTTATATAGCGACACTTCAAAAAAGTCGCTCAATTTGAATAAATGCGAATAATTCCTACCTTACCAATTTTTATTGTATATTTCGTAAAGCATAAAAAAAATTCCAAATACTTGAATGTCTACCGAAATGCAAAACCGCACAATCAAATAGCGCATAAATTCTTTATTTGCAAAAGTGGAACTGAATAGCAAAAAGATACGAAATGAAATAAATTTTCGTCACCGTCCCTCAAAATTGCAATACAGAAAAAATATAAAATAAAAGTATTGAAAAAAGCATGAATAAATATTTAAACAGTCCTAACAAAACCTCCCTGACACCCAAACACCCCTTAGGTCTGATGATGAACATTTAAAAATGGGTTAATTTATGAATATGCGGTAAAATATTTTTTTTTGTTCCTTTCACACTTTTCATCTCTTTTTTTGCAGCTACTCCTCATTGCCTTCTTACATTCATAAATTTTCATACATGTGTCGCTCTCATCTGTTTTTCAATGTTGAATTAGGATTATTACATACATATATACATAGGCACATGCTTTTCATGACGGCTGGTGCTGATGTTGCTTTTATTATTTTTGGGGGAATGTTAGACGTTGAGTTATAAATAAAAAGAATTATTGCAAGGAAAGGTATTTTTGGTGGTGCAAAAATGTGTTTGTGGATGAACAATCAATGTTCGGTTGATTTGGGTAGCAAAATGTGTGAACGTAAAAGTAATAATATCAACGATATTATTCACAAATGATGTCCATCGAGAATCTGATGATCAATAAGACATTGCAGAATGCATGCTTGAGCGACATCCCAAAGCAACCACTTAGATGCTATGTCACCTACCATTGTCATGTCGAGCCATGTGATCTCTATTTGACTGTCAACGATGTTCTAAAGAAGCCAAGGGTTTAGTACAGATAGGATCAATTTTAAGGTATTTGCTTAAGAAAATCATTCGAACTTCCGGAGAAAATATTTTTAATTTGTGCGTGAGTGGTCCAGGAGCTTTGCTGTAAGAATATTTATGTAGTCTGCATCTAAGACAACATTCGTTATTGCTTCAATATTCCAATTTATTTCTTATATTCAAAGAACAGCGATTATAAAAAATATTTTGACAAGCTTCAAATAAAACCGGATTTTTACTTACCAACACCAAAAAAGATACTAAGTCCTCATCCCTTTGAGAGAAATGTAGATCATAATTTATGGGTTTTTTCATCTCTCTTTATTTAAAAAAAAACGAAACGTAAAGAAAAACATAAGAGATGAAATTCTTTTAAAATAAATTGACGATGACATCATAAGCACAAAAGCGAAAGCTTCTTATAGCATTAGATATTTCATGGAACAACACTCCATTTTTTTTCCCGTCGTCTCATATTTCTACCATTTTTATAGATCTCTATCCCTTTGCCTGCCAGCTTGCTCCATCCAATTCATATTGGAATCGCTCTGAATACTCTCACAGATGTATGAATTCATTTATATACGATTTTCACATCTTTTTTTTTGTAGCTGTTATGAAAATATATGGTTTTATCATATTTGCTACTTTTCGGATTTACATCTCCGTGGATGAAAAAAAATGACGTCGAGTAAATTCTTTAAGCCTTTTACTCAGTGCATGTGTGTATATTAGTACTAGTGCAGCTGCCTGATAAGCATGGAGATGAAAATTTTGATGAAGCTCACTTTCAAACGATGGAAGAGCATTTAGGAGCTAGCTGGAAGAATGTAGAGATACAAATTGTGAAGCACTTATTAGAAGCTGTAACCCATCTTATAGCAACAAACATTAAAAATCATAAAATGTTTGAAACAGCCTTCACAACCCTAAAAATAGTTGTCCATCGCTATAGAAATAAATTTTGACATTCTCGAAATACAAATAATGAAAATTACGAGTATAAGGCAATTGCCTTCTCCATCCAATCTATAATTCTCCATTTTTACAGTTACCAAGGGAGCAAATATCAACAGTAAGCAAAAGGACGGCAGTGATTTTTATTTCTATATTTATTTTCAAATAAAATGAAAATTCCACCAGCGAAAATTTTCCTTTTTCATATTTTAATACAAATTTATGATATTGGAATTGTTTGACGTGGAGTTTAGAGAAAATATCTTGCAGCTTCTCGCTGACTAAGTCAAAATACAAAATTTTATTGGAATACAAATTTAATTTATTTATTAACTTTTCAATTAGAATTGTAATTTGAATATTTTGTACACTGTTTAAAGGAATTTTACTTAAATTTTATTCTCCATGCCTTCACAGTTGTGCTCTATCCGTTATACTATAAAACTTTCATAAAATATTGAATTTACTGTTTTAATGGATATTTATCTGCATTTAATTCAATTAACATTGCATTCTACAACTGATTGATAGTCACAACAATCACATACTTCGTCATAATAAAGACCAGGCTGGCAGTAGAATAGATGTGGATACCAATTAGAGCAAATGAAGAATGTAGTACAATCTGTTGGGTTTTTAAAGTTTCCGTCGCCTATGGGGCAAATAAAATTAGATGGAACTGCTGTTGATCGTTTACTGGTTGTTGACTCTTCAATAGACACAGTTGATTGAGCTTTTGATGTTGTTGACTCATCATTTGATACAGTTGATTGTCCAGTTGATGCTGTTGACTGCTCAGTTAATGCTGTTGATTGTCCAGTTGATGCTGTTGACTCTTCAGTAATTATTGATGAGCTCTCGGTTATTATTTCTGGCTCTTTAGTTGATGTTGATGAGCTCAAAGTTGTAGTGTCTGTAATATCTTGTGTGACATCATCTGTTGAGCCATCAGAATCTATTGTCGAGTTATTATCTGGAATACCAGGAGCACCATCACCATTTGTAGTCTCTTCAGTATCCAAATCACTAATTGTAGTCTCATCCACATCACCATAAGTTGTCTCATCTTCTTCCGAGCTTGAATAATCTGATGATCCTTCATAATTATCTTCACCAGAATCACTCACTTCTGTTGAATCTGTTGTGTTGCTTATATTTGAATCATCTTCTGTTGGAGCACGAAAAGTAGTAGATTCTTCAGCATTTGTACTATTACCACCAATGGAACCACCTTCAGTAGTAGAACTACTTATGCTTGGAGTCGGTGTAACTGGTGGAGTCTTAAAGTCAGTCGTTGAGGTGCTTGCTTCAGTTTCTGTAGTGCTTTGATCTGTTGCTTGTTGAGTTGTTGTAAATTGTTCTAATTTTTGAGAACTGGTGACTGTTGTTGAGACTTCAGAAGCTGAAAAAGTTGTTCGTTCAGGTGTGACTGGTGGCGTTGGAATTTCACTAGTCGTTGTACGAGTCGTGGTTGTATAAGATACAGTTGATGGTTTACTGGTGGTGCTGGTAGTTGATGAAGATTGTGAGGCTTTTTTGGAAAATGAAAAATTTATCATAATTAAATACTAAGTTTAAATGAAGAATTTTCAATTTACAAGTTTCTGGAGATGTTTCTGGAGAAGTCTCTGCCTCAGTTTCAGTAGTTGGAGTCTCAGTAGCTAAAAATGAAACAATAATTATTTTTTAAAATGAAAATTTAAGTCAAAAATCACAACTTACTCGTTGTTATGGGTAAGGATGTCGTAGATGCTAATGAATAATTTAAAAATTCAATTTATAAAAAAGTCAGAACAATTTAAAATAATGAAAACCTACTTGTAGTGGAGGAGGTCGTCGTTGTGCCTTGAAAAAATTAATTCATGAATGAAAAACTGAATTTAAAGACAATAATTCAATAAACTTACTAGAAGATGTGGTTGTGGAGCTTGTCGTTGTAGAACTTGTTGTTGTAGAGCTTGTCGTTGGTTCTTCTGTTGTAGCTGAAAAAAAAACCTTTTAATAAAACTATTTGTAAGCTTTTTATGCAAGAATTTTTCATACTAGTCGTTATTTCCGGCTCCATTGTGGTAATCTCTGGCGTTACTTCTTCTGTTGTCGTTGTAGTACTTAATGGTGTTGTTTCTCCAGGTCTTGGGGTAATTGTTGTCGGTTCAACAGGATTTGGTTCAAAAATCTAATATAAGCAATGAATAATCAGATGTTAAAGCTACTTAAACTTTTAAAGTCTTACTCCATTGATGATTGCATTATATCCAAGTCTAATCAACGGAAACTTAATAGAGTCGCAATAGCCCACTAAAAATAAAAATAGAAAATTAATCAGTGTCAAAACCTTTCGTATGACTTTTGGCTTGCATACAAAAATCATCATGATCCAAAGCAGCATAATTGATACCAGCGAGATCATGTTCAAGCACTAAATGAATCTTTGCTAAAACTGAAAGCTTATCATCATATCCAACCCATTGGTCCACATCATAAGTTGCATAAGGTGTAAAATGAGTTTGACTCCAATGACTTTCCCAACTTGTAGCTTCTTGATTTAAATTATAACAAATTTCAGAATATGGAATGATGTTTTTTCGTACTTCATTGGTTTGAGGTGCAAAGCTACTAGGTCTCCCAAGTCCAGCTATAGATGAATCTACATCATTCTCATTAGCATCTGACAATGTGAAACTTCGTCCATACGTTGGTATACCAAGTGTGAGTTTCTCAGTCGGGACATTTCTTGTTTTCCAACTAGTCACAATAGACACTGCATTCCATTCAGATTCAGGAGTTCTATCACTTTGATTCTTGCGGTATGGAGAATGAAAAGCTGTTGCTGTATCTGTTATATATCCACGCAAATCAAAAGAATTGAGGTTAATAAAATCAACCTGATTAATAATCTTTGGAATGTCGTAAGATTTTTCAATGTCCTCATTTCTTGGTGCCACAGAAATCGATAAAATTTTTTGTGATGTTATAATTCTTCTCAAAGTTGATAGGAAGCTTGCAAAATTATCTTTATCGTTTGAATATCCGCTGTGTCCAGGCCATTGCCAGTCAAAATCAACTCCATTGAATCCAGGATGACTGTCTAAGAAACTTTTGATCGCTTTTGCTAAATTTTCTTGACCAGTTGGAGTCGATGTTATATTTGATGGAATCATGGAACCTGATAAAAGTTTAAGAGAATTAAATAAAGGTTTTGGATACAAGGAACGGTTTTTTGAATATATTCCTGCATGTTTGAATTTATAGCTTTGGTATACAAAAGAAACTGGCCACTCGGAGCAGTTATTACTCACCCCAATATGGACCACCAACTCCAATCAATAACTTTACATTTGGATTAATCGCTTTTAAGTTTAAAAACTCAGCTGACTTGTCAATATCTAAATATAAATGAAATAAATTTGATAACATTATTATTTTGGAATCAACAATACTCTTTAGAGTTCCTATTGATTATTTTTAGGTGCTTTTCTTAAAAGCAGACACACTTTAAAATTGACATCAAAACAATTTATCTTTATGATAACGATTAAGGTTCAAAAGGAAATGTGCTTACTTTGTGGTGACCAATAAAGAGCCAGTTGTTGAGAATAAAATATGTTTCTGTAGATGATGTGAGTACATATGTTTGGATCTATGTCGGAAGCTTTGAAATATCCTCGAAGGCCATTATGTCTGTCTGACTGTTGAATAGTTTATTAATAAATTCAGAATTAATTTCGGTAAGGTTATTAAGTTGAAAGGAAAGTCTAATCAAACCAGGCGCGTAGCCAGGGAGGGATTTGGGAGACAAATCCCTCTTCATCTTGAGAAATTTCTTCATTTTGCTAGAGTTTTTATGAATAACTCGAAAAAATCACACCCCCCCCCCCCTCCCCTTAAAAGTTTTCCATTCAAAAAAAAAGTTGTCCCCCTCTCTTTAAATTCGTGGATACACTCCTGAATCAAACCATCAAAGTTCTTACTTACATCTGAGTTCCAGTAGCACACGACTTTTTCTAAAGAAAGGAATTAGAAATTTATTTTAATTCTTCAAAAATTTAAGTTTTAACAATTTTTAAATTTTCCAAAATTCTCACAAATATCACTTAAATTATATTAATTTTTCCATAAGATTGCGGTCACGTCCTCAAAAATGGCGCATAGTGTGACGCGCAATTATTGAAGAATTAAGCTTATATAACACTTTTCTTACTTTCTTGTGCTATGGACAAATAAACAGTGCCCAAAATAAATAAATAATGCAGAAGCATAACTTTTTCTTAATCCTTTGTTTTTGTAATTTTAAAACTTTTTCAAACTTTGTTATTAAATTTTGTTTTTTCAAAATTTTTTGTTCCTTTTTCTTGAATTTTCTTAAAATTTTCACTGTCAACTAACAAAAATATTGACTTACACGCGCTTATAAAGCTTAAGATAAGCTTCGATAAGAAAGCTATTAAAATTCAATAAAGATTAAGCGGCAACTTGATAGTTGTGATTAAATAAAGAATACTTGGAACAATATGATTTTATTGGATCTACCGCACTTTAAGGAAATAAGTCAGATAGCGATGATTTTTGAAAACTATTAGATAGCTCTTGAAAATATTTATTGTTAATCTTTCAATTCCCATTTTACCATAAACCCTCAATCAAATAGAAATCCGGAACCAAAAGCTGGCGTAATTCAGGCATGGTGCTGGATTTGATATAAGTCTGATATAAGTCTGGATTCGATATAAGTTCAGCACCGTGCCAGAGTCATGCCAGTTTTTTGCCGGATTTGAACTAGTTCTGTTCAGGAAATCAGGTTTAATATTCTACATTTCCAAAAAGACTTTTGGAACCTCTTAAGCTACATTTCAATGGCATTGGAGCATGAGGTTGTTAACCAGCTCAAACAGAATAAGAAAGAAGGTAAAAGGGTTGAAGGACCAACAATCTCTTTTTTACAGAGATGAATAAATTAACCTGAAAATTCCAGGGTTGCGATAAAGGTACATGTTTACAGGTGAGAACCGTACAATTCCTTGATAATTTGTGAGGTTTTATTATAATTTGTATGGTTTTGGTTGAAAATCCTTATAAATTATCAATGAATTGTACGGTTCTCACTTGTGTTCAGGTGCCTGAATCGCAACCCTGGCTGAAATTCAATAGACAAAGATTCAAAGTATGTTAAAATTTTACCTCAATTAAGAATCAAAAGAATCAATTTTAATTAAAAATCTAAAAATAAAATTACTTATTAAACCATATTATTTATTTTTGATAGCTTTAAACTTACAATAATACTGATAATACTTAATTTTATCAAATAAATAAGAATCCATAGTAAATCATTTAACATTTCAAACTCAATTGATAATCACAATGTTTTCTCAATTCATCATAATATTTATCATAATTACAATAGAATTTATAAGGAATATTTTTAACACAAACAAAGAATGAACTACAATCCTCTGGATTCTTAAACTTTCCATTTTCTTCAGGACACGCAAATGATTTTTTAGTTGGAAATTCAATTGATCTTTTAGATTTACTTTTTGGTGTGACTGGAGGTGTTGGAATATTATATGAAGTTGTTCTGGTTGAAGTAGTCTGAACTATAGGTTCATTTTGTCTTTGAGTAGTTTGCTGGATAATCACAGTTGCTTCAGTTTCTTTAATACTTGTTTGTGTAGATTGCACAATTTGAGTAGTTGCAGCATTGACTTTTGGTGTGACGGGTGGCGTTGGAAATCCTGTGGATGTTGTTGCTGGCAATTTTCTAGTTGTTGTGTCTTCTTTAGTAGTTAATATGCTTTCAGTCGTCGTGGTAGATAAAATTTCAGCTTCAGTCGTCATAATTGGGGTGGTTTGCATCTCATTGCCACTATTTCTTGTTGTTGTAGCAATTGAATTAATAACACCCGGAGTGATTCTTGGTGTTGGATTCTCGCTTGTCGTGGTACGCGTTGTGGTGGTTCTAGTTACTGTAGTTTTTGGAACTGTAGATTTTTTGGTTGTTGTAGATGCTACAACATTTGAAATTATAGTTAAAAATCGTCAAAAAAATAATATTATAAATCCTACTGGTTGTTGGGGTTTCACTTGTTGTCGGTTCAGCAGTTGTAGGCTCGATAGTTGTAGTAATTGGCTCCGTGATTGGTTCAGTTGATGTACTTTTATCATCGGTGTCTGGATCTTTACTTACGGCTGATGTCGTTGTGGGTGGAAGCTCTGGTGGTTTAGTAGTGGTTGTAGGCTTTGTGGTAGTTGTTGTAGGTTTTGTGGTTGTTGTTGTAGGTTTTGTGGTAGTTGTTGTAGGTTTTGTGGTAGTTGTTGTAGGTTTTGTGGTTGTTGTTGTAGGTTTTGTGGTTGTTGTTGTAGGTTTTGTGGTAGTTGTTGTAAGTTTTGTGGTAGTTGTTGTAAGTTTTGTGGTTGTTGTTGTAGGTTTTGTGGTCGTTGTCGTAGGTTTTGTGGTAGTTGTTGTAGGTTTTGTGGTAGTTGTTGTACTTCTTGGGGTGGTTGTGGTAGTTTCAGCAGGATTTGGCGGGAGAATCTACAAAAAATTAAAAATGTAGGTCTTAATTACTTCTTCATATGATCAAACTTGTTGATTTAAGTTTCCTTACATTATTGATCATAGCTTCATATCCAATTCTGATCAGGGGAAATTTAGATCCACTGCATTGACCAGCTAAATATTTAAAAAAAAAATTATAAAAAATTACAAATTTTTTACTACAGACTTAAAACTTACTAAAGTCATCCCGATCTATAGTAGCATAATTAAGTCCACCAAGATCATTGTTAAGAGCCAAATGAATTTTAGATCTAACAACTTGTAAGTCATCAAATCCAACCCATTGATTTGCATTAAATACAGCATATGGTGCAAATTGAGCTGAATTCCAATAAGAGAGCCATCGAGGATTTGTAAGGATGTTTACGCAAATTTCAGTATATGGAATAACATTTGAATTTTCAACTAAATATTCGCTTTGAGAACCAAGTCCACTGACAGGTGCTCCAACTCCAGTTTGCAGTATATCCGTTAATGTAAAACTTTTGCCATATGTTGGGATACCTAATGTCAATTTAGCTGATGGAACTCCTTTACTTAGCCAGTTTTCCACAACTGAAACTGCATTCAACTCGCCTTCTTTAGTTAAATCATTTGGTACCTTTCGGTATGCAGAATGGAAGGCTGTGATTGTTTCACCTTCACTTCCATGAAAATTGTAAGTATTTAAATTTATAAAGTCAACATACTGATAAATTTTCAAGACGTCATAGGATTTGTCAATGTCATCCTGCCTTGGTGCAACAGAAATTGAAAAAATCTTGCCAGTTCCTAAAACATTCCTTAAATTTTGTAGCAACAAAACATAATTAGCTTTATCATTGTCTGATGATCCACTTCCTTGACCAGGCCATTGCCAATCAAAATCACATCCGTCAAAGCCATAATCGTCAATAAATTTCTTGATTTTTTGTGAAAAATTATTTCGATCTGTTGGAGTTGTTGCAATTTTTGATGGAATTTGAGTTCCTTGACGTGGTCCACCGACACCGATTAGGAGTTTTACATTTGGATTTTGGGTCTTGAGGTTTTTGAATGCGGCTAGATCGTCTGAGGAATAAACAAAGGATTGTGATCTTTAATGAAGCCATTCGAGGTTATAATGCGGAGGGGGCAATGTGGTAGCTTCTTACAAGTGCATCTCTATTCATAAGCAATCTAATAAAAACAATAATTTAATTTTCTCCAATACCTTATGTCATTATAATGTCAATTATTAAATCATAATCATTCTAAAACGTAATTTACAAGTCAATCGGTAAATGTCTAATTACATGTTTATGACACTACTGATTAACACTTCCGATTATCATCAAACCTCGATTAGAATTTTATTACATTATGCATTAAATTTAATTACCTTCATTGTAATCTGGAAAAATAATAATACTAGCTGTAAATCGTAGATATGTGTAGATTAAATGTGTGCAAATGTTTGGGTCGATGTCTTTCACTTCAAACATGCCCTTAAGTCCTTCATTTCTTACTGACTGAAATGTTTAAAAAATTGATAATATTGTAAAATTACTTGAAGTTCTTGATAACTTACAAATGAGTTCCAGTAACAAACAACTTTTTCTGTAAAGACAAAAAGATAAAATTTTGTCGTAAGTAAACAATTTAAAGCTATTTATGACTAACAGACGTGATTAAGGCACTTCAATTGATGATTTTTTTGTTGTCTACATTTATCAAAATTGAATTTCTCAAAAATAAAATATTTTTCGAGTGCTTCAAGCACTTAAACTCAAATCAGTCATTCCTTTTCAGTGCTCTTAAAAAATGTTCTCATGCCGATTCCTTTAAACGAAGTTTTAATTGAAAAAACACAGGATGAAGAAAAGTGAAAAGTTTTTGGAATTTAAAATTAATTTTTCCTGCTTTTTATCGATGGCACAGGAGCACTTGAGAAAGCTCTTGAACTTAGTTTTCTTTCACATTTTCGTCAGGTTAATTATTCATTGAGAATAATTAAGTTTTTGTGGAATTTTCTTTTGTGGATAATTTCTTTTTTATTCTGATTAATTATTTCATTTTCTTATGAAATCAGAAATCGAATGGCAAAGTTTCGTGAAAAATGATTTTATCGCCTGTCATTCGAATGGAATTTGTGTCCATAAATTATTAATTGTTCTTCTTGGAAATGTTGCAATTCATTGCATTTTAATTTTTTTAATAATTCACATGAAACAATGCAATGTGTAATAATTACTGATAGCCCATCCATAACTTAATTACTTAAACTACATCATTAGAGTAATTAAAGTTGTTAGTGATTATTAAAAACTTTACAATCTTATCAATTTCTCAAATACTTGACATTCCTTTTGTATTTTGTAATCCAAATGTAAGTTTGAGTTTTCTTTAATTTCTTGAAAACTGTCAAACGATGAACTCTTAATTTTGCAATCTATAAATTAAATTAATGATTTAAAACACATTGTGCTGTGAGCTTAGGGAACGAAATAATTAAATTGACAACGTTTTATGTTAATAATGAGAAAGAGATTTCATTTCTTCAATTTTCTATGGAAATCATTTAATTCTAGAATTTTCGTGGATATTTCATAATTTTGTGACACATTTGAAATGTTTAAATCAAAATAAATGGTTTTTTGGTACTTTTCTCAATTGATAAAATTATTGATACACAGAAAAAGCATTTTCAAAAATTCTTCAAAACCTTGAAATTTTACAAATTTGACAATCCAAAAAAATCATCAATCTGGTGCAAATTAGAAATTAATTTCATTTAATTTTACAAACTAAGAATTTAATTTACTTTCACTTCCAGCTATCAGCGGAATAGCGCACAATAATGCACCAATAATCACTAGAGTCCTCATTATTTCTTTAATTTTTTCAACATTAATTATCTTTCAATTAAATTTAACTTCCAGTCTTTTGTTTTCTTTATTTTCACAATCAAAAAAAATATTTTTTTTTCACTTTTTCTTATCCTGAGTATTTGCTCAAAAGTTTTTCAATCAACTAATTGGATTATAGCCAAAGGCAGCCACTTATATAGACAATCAATTGTATCGGCAAAACAACAGATGAACTCGTATCGAAGTGGAATTAAAAGCTTATCAAAATCCAATTCAGTTTCGAGATTATGAGTGCTGAATTATAAGTATAATGCGTCGGCAAATATCAAAAGTGTTGACAATGAGGTTGGGTTAAGTGCTAATTCGCAAAATATTTATTAAACTGACGTCATTTCTTCGGTTTTTTGGTGTCAATTTTTGTGTGATAAGGAAGCCATCAAAACATAATAAAAGCAGTAATTTATAAAAGAAATTTCTGTTATAAAAATCAAAAAATGGGATAGGTGCCATATCTTTATAGCTATAATGGAAATAATCAATTTAACACAATAAGTGAATAATTCTGGAATTATTTACTAGCAAAAAGTTGTCAACACTTTTATTTTATTATCAATCATTAGATTATTTACTATCACAATTTCCTCAATAATTATGATAATCTGCACATGTACGATGCCATAATAAAAATTTTAATAGTTTCTCCAGTCATCGAGATAAGCCAATTATGTTATCGATCACATTGGTTGTTTGATAACCAGAAAGAAAAAGTCATAACAAAGTTTATGGTTTGACAAGCATTAAAAACAATATATGACTCAAATGTTCTGCTTATCAATCAATATGAAAATGATAAAGAAAAGGAAGTGATAAAATGAGGAAGGAAATCGAAAAGTTCAGCATTTTTTTTTACGTAATTTTCTTGTCTTTTAATTGCGTGGTAATTGATTTGGGATTTGAAACTCAGGAATAATATATGTTTTTCATGAATTATCATACAGCCTAGCAGGTAAATTTAATCGTCATCAATAAAGATGATGATGCCCTATTTTGCGATTTAATCTATTTTGTACCAAACCAAAGCTTTCTTCTAGAGCTTCTCGGATTGATTCAATCTACAATCGATGATTTGTGAATAAAAATTGAAAATGATTAAGAAAGGGCATTCTTGGGTGACTCTAGAAAATTAACTTATGGTGCTATTAAGTTTGTTCGGTCACTTTAACATCACCATTCCAAAGTTGCAAACCCTCAAAAAACCAATTTCATCAATGAAGCAATCAGTAAGTTCATGAAAACTTGTCGTGTGATAATATTGATTGATTAACTTTCAAAACTTTCAGACAGTTTGCTTGTTATTTGATTTTATGGACATGTACAACATTGGGTGAACAGATCGATGTATTAGCAATACTGTCAAAAATACTTTTTTAACATTTAGTAAACAAATTGATTGTTATTCATCAAAGTAATACAAATTAGTGCTGATGATTTATTGTCAAGGGTGCGGAACTGATGAAATGATCAAAAATGATCAAAAAACGTTCAAAAATGATGATTAAAATGTAATTTATTAGTTCAGCACCCTTGTTTATTGTGCTAAGGGATCGTTCACTAATGACGTCCAAAATTAACGGTCAATTTTCAACGGAGAACAATGGATATCCAGGAATTTCGATTGTTATTCTCTTGCTGACCCCCCTGGACGTCATAAGTGAACGGCCTCTAAGAGTTTGATGTATTTTCTTCTAGAGTTTTAAAAATTTGTGGTTTGAATCTTTGATTATTTTTATCACTGTCTTTCTTCTATCGACTAATTTCAACTTATTATGTGTTAAGGCTTGATTAGGAACGCAACTAGGTTAGGTTTATTTTACCATAGAAATTTCTTAGAAAATCTTATAAAATACCAAACTGCACTATTGTCAACGACAAAGCCTTACAGAACAAAATGATGCCTTCAATTATTTTGCCTTAATCAAAATCTCTCGTAAAATTGATTAAATCACTTCCATGTAGAACATAACCACACAACATAAATGAAACAGCTTTTATCAATGTCTAATCAATTTTTTGCTGATGAGGAAATCATTCAATGCTTCTTTTAGTGCCAATGACTTACGGAATTTCGAAAAAAATCTGAAAAGGTAAAACAACTTTAACGATAACATTTAATGAGAATCGTAAGATTCAAACAGTAACCGCTGACAGGTAGCATCACTGCAATAAGCTTTTTCTTGCATCCCTCTCAAAACTGTTCATTTTTAGCGTCCGGGATTAAAAGATTTCAAATTAGTTTTGAAACAAACCCCTGAGGATATTTCAAAAATAAGCGAAAAAAATATAAAATAAATTTTTTTTCTCACACAAGCGGAATGAAATAAAAATGAAGAAATTTTTTTTATTATAAAATACGTTTAGTAGTATAAATTTTATACAAAGCAAGTCAGAAAGCAAATTTAATGCGACGTATTAAATTTTTTCGTGAAGCTTTGTTTTCAGGAAGATGAAGGAATTGCTGTGGTTTTGTCATGGATGGCTAGAGCCAACAAATATCTCTGTCCTGTCTCTATTATGTCTCTGCCCAGTTTTCGTTCTTAGGGTCATATCCACAAGCTGTTGGGTTCAAAATCTTGACAAATAAATTCCTAACTACATCCCAAACCTAGACTAGTACACCAAATGCGTTTAAATTACTGACAATCGTTACACATACTTGAACTTTTCTTTCATTTATTTGTCGCTGTGAAATAAAGAAAGGAAAATGCTCAAGGATATGAAAGCGTCTTAGCGACAATTTACTTTTAAATTTTATTATTGTTGAATTTTTTTCCTTTGTTACTTCGCATTTGCTACTTCCACTTATTTTATGTCATTTCAACGAAAATAATTTTCATCTCGAAAAATTAAATGCAATGAAATTCATCATCATTCAATTGAATGTAAGCCTGTAAATGGCATCAATGATGGAAAGAAGTAACGACGACTTTTCATGAAATAAATTAAAAAATTCTCGCTCTTTGTTTGTGCTGATTCGTTCTTTTATTTTATTTCGCGTTGTTTAATGAAAATACAGAAGAGCTTTCAATTTCTGACATTTTCATGTTTTTCATTTCTCTTCATTTTCATTCCGTTTGAAATTAATGTCATTAACGAGTAATGAAAAAAAAAGGTTAAGAGACATTTTTTTATTTTATATTTTGCTAATGAGAAGCCTTCAGCACTGAGCAATGCTTTTAAAAAATATAAATAAATGTGATGCTGAGACTGATGGCATTTTCATAGTTGAGTTGTTAAGCAATGAATGGGATGCAAACAGAAGCAAGAGGAAAATAATTATGAAATTAAAAGAGGAACGCTGCTTTTATATGCGGTGTTTGCGTTGAATTAATAAACAAGAAAAATGATAATGCAAGCATGCAAATGAATAGTTGGATCATCGCAGCATAATATTAGTGAAAGATATAGGAAATCAAGGGTTGTGTCAATTGGATATGAAGATTTTGCTGTTAGGGAAGCTTAGTCTTAGTCTGATGGAATTGTTAAGTGCGGAACTTTCAAACTGACTAGAAAAGAGTGACATTAAAATAGGTTCAAGTTACGGGTGTGTTATGTAAGGCTACAGCTGATTAAACCCTTTATACCAGAAACCTTGCCATTCCGCTGACCTTAATTGACTATTTCTAGATTTATCTTAGGACATTTTTTTACCATGCATGACTGTAATGAATATTTGTTATCCTGTCATTATACTGAAGTGAGCTGAAGTGGCTTGGTGGCGGGATGGTTTAGTCTTTTGGGACCTAATTATTGCAATAACGACACAGCGATCATGGGTTCGAGACCAATTCGAGACTGGGTACGAGAAATGAGGCTCACAGCTTTCCTTTGTAGGATACAGGCAGAAAAATCATCAAAGGAGTGGTTTCGATCCCACTATTAATTGTAGAGCTTGGTTTGAGTGCAGTGTTTTGGCGCATCCTGTCATTCTACAAAACTCTCAATACTATCTTCTTGAATTCATCTCATCTTGCAACAAACCACTTTGAAGAAGGCAACGAAATTCACAAAATTAATGCAAAAAGTGACCACAAGCACTTTTTAACGAAAAACAGATTCAAGACTAATTTGAAAAACATTTTCATTAAGAACGTGTTCACCGAAAAAAGATCAAATCCACCAACAGAACCCCATCAAAACAACAATTATTAAGAAGACATCTTCCAACGCAGAAAAATTCTAATTAACGAAAAAGGCAAAAAAGAAGCTTTCTTGCTGTTTTCTGTATTCTTTGTCAATATTCAGCAGCAATTCATCCCTTGCAAGATGTGAAATTAAATAATATGAATAGGAAGTTATCTTGTTTTTCATATCTGTTTCACATTCAATTACTCATTTTTGAAGCCTTTGAAGATTGAGAAATTTGATTGTTTGTAGCTTTGTCGGGGTGTCAATTTTGGAAGCTGGGATGTGGAGAGTTGATAGTGGGATCTGCCATATTGTGCCTTGTGTAAGTATATCCGTCATTGCAAGATTAAGACCTCTGTGGTCGTGTGGTTAGGCATCAGATTTGAAATCCTCAATTTTGTAAATTGAGAGGAGGTGAGTTCGATTCCCACCAGATTCAAATCTTTTAAATAACGCTTGCAACATTCCCAAAAAAAAAAAAAACTCTTGAATTCCATCAAAAATGCGCAATTTGCAATCCAACAACTAATATGTTTCTTATTGCTCGCTATTATCTGTCACAAAAAAAAAGTGGGAGACGCAAAACATTTCTAATTACTATAATTAAAAACACAGCAGAAATGCAAATAGCATTCATAAAAAGATTGTCATAGTGACATGATAAGGAACGATTCTATCCCATTAAGAAATGAAAATTTCCTTTCTTTTTATTGAAAGACAAAGAAATTAAAATAAATTGAAACTGCGAATGATAAACATAATTTGGAATGTCTTTATCTATAACCACAAAAACATACCTTTTTGAATGCTTGTCATTTAATCACGTTTCATGTTTCTATCTAATCGGCAAGCAGTTCATGGCACTGCGTATATTTTACCATTCAAGTGTGCAATAAACAACACAAAAGACCTCATTTTATTATTGAAATAATAAAAATAAGGAAGCAAAAAAAAAGTTTGACATAAATTTGTCATGGGGTTGTT